ATTTCAACAATTAGCTAAATATACCAATTTGCAGAAATTAAAAAAAGTTTTGTGGTTTGGAATTTTGCTGAGCTCCAGGGCGATAATTTGAAGTGGTGCTGCCGATGGTGCAAAAATTACAGCTTGCCATTAACTGTGCCTTTAATCGGTCAGACGGTCAACCCTTTCATGCTGGTCAGCTACCCGGTGCAAAATGACTCGGACGACATTCAAATACAGGCCGTGCCTTTTAATGAGACACTAAAAATTGGCAATAAAGTGTTTTGCAGAGATTGAAAGGCAAAAGCCACTGTTTGCCCAGATTTTGTGCATTTTGTGCGTGATGAGTTTGAATGAATTGTTTTTTGTTTTTCAATTTTAGCCCATTATAGCCTATGCGTTTGTTTGTAATGATTTTTAGAGACATCATGAAACTAGGTTATCATGTTGTATTTTAACCAGAGAGGACAGCATTTAAATACTTATTTATATTCGTTATTTTATTGAAAACTCAACTTTACCAATAGTTTGTAGAGTAGATTTAAATTTAATGCAGTACATACCAACCTTCTATTGTTTGACTTTTCTCTTCTGTAAATACCGCTTATTGAAATTTCTAATTTTGAATGTATTTATTAACTAGTTTAATTTTTTAACAGAATAAATGATTCATAAAAAGAAATGAAATTAGTCAAATCTTTAAATTTTCAACCTCTAATCATTTTTAACTTGCATGCGTGTTTTTGAAGTTTGACTCTCACTTTCATTTGATATGCAAATAACAACCCGTCATTTTGTGAGTCAGTGCCACTTTAATTTCGCGTCTCAAAAGGACATCAAAAGCAACGACCACACATGCGATGACCGCGAGTCTCCGAATTTAATATAACAAGCCCTGAAAAATGGAAAATTTATTCAAATGCGACGGACCGTAAAATTTGCATACTAACCGCAAGCGCCTCTGCTAATGACTGGAAATTTCTCTCTTTTCGAGGGGTCACTCTCGTGTTTGACTCTCTCTCTCTCGAATCGTATTATTTTGGTCGCGACCGCATCAACACAACTGTCACGCTACACCCCCTTCTTATTGTGCGACACGCGCCCACCGTTGTGGACAAGGTCCGTCTCGGAATTGATGACGGGCGAGTGCCGTGTCAATCATCCCCCGACGCGCGTCCTGTCAAACACCCACCCACCCACCCTTAGGACACCCCCTCCGATATATAATTTCACACACAAGTGGCGCGGATCCAATTTATGTGTGTCTCTCGCTCTCTTTTTTCTGACGCGATCGGATTAAAGCGGATGAAAAGTGAGAAGCGATGATGCTCTGCGGTGTGATTTCGCTCGTTTTTATTTTCAACGCAAAGCCCCGGGGGAGTGTTTAAATAATGATCGGCACTCGTCGCACGGCTCTAATTCAAAAGCGCTTTGATTGATTTTGCATTATTATTTCAATTTTCGTCTGCGAGATGTCAATTGCAAGTTGAAGTGTGGAGGGTGTTCAATTGAAAAAATAATTTCATTTTTCATAATTTTATTGATCGGTAGTAGAAACTTCTAACAATGAAAATTTATAATGCAAGAGATACGATATAGAAAAGATTTGCTAAAAATAGTAAAAAAAAACTAGATTTATTGTGCAGTTTCAATATAAGAAAAAAATTATGATGACAATGGAAATTTGAAATAAATGAATATATGTATGAATTTATTTTTGAGGCATTGTTGCATAGGATAGCTGAGGATAGCCAATGGCTGAAGAAAAACTCTAAAGCTATAAAACATTTTGTGCTTTCTTTTTTATTTTCACCTTTTTTCCCTAAAACTTGCAATCTCCAACTTTGCTGCAATTTAAATCTAAATTTAGCATGCAAGGATGATTGTTTGATCTTGCATTTTTGCACATTTTAGTATTGTAAAGTAAATACTGCTCTATTATTTTATTATTAATATGCAAAAATAAACAATTTTGTATGTTTTTTATGCAATTTCTCAACAATTAAACAAAAATAAAATTTAAGCTCCATGTTTGCAACCTTGAATGCATGAAATATTTCAATTTACCTAAATTTTTTGTCATCTCTTTTATATTGTTGCAGTTTTTCATTATTTTATATATTATTTTCTGATTCAAAAAGCAGCAACCGCAGATTAAATTGACGAAAATCCCTCGCCTCGCAGTGACACTTTTCCGCATCGGAACAATTAAAATTATGTAAAATGCGGAACACTTGCCGTTTTTTCCTTCGCTTTCAAATCTGAAATAATCCACCCTCTTGACGAGAGCGAGTGTATAAAAATTAAATAAAAATGAGCATAATCCCCGCGGAAAAGTGGAGGGTTTGCGCGAACAAAGCCGCTCGCCTTTCTTCTGCAAATAACAGGCGCAAATCTGTCTCTGTGATATAACGCGCGAATTACTTTTAAAACCGATCAACCGTGAAACATTGGATCAGAGAGAGCAGGGATTTACACCGTGTTGAGACAACGCCACCCTTGATTTTCTTTCATGAATTTTGAACAAAAACGATGATGGAGAGGGGACTTACAACTGTATATTCAATTTTAATGCACTTTCATGTGAAAAAATAAATGTGATACTTGATAACTCGATCTCTTGTTTCATATATATTATATATTTCTTGCATTAATTAGAAAAATTCCTATAATGAAAATATCAAACCAATAGAGGGAGAAAAGGGTCAAGGATTGTTAAACTATTGTACCATTTCAAATGATTTTGGTTACAATTATTTGTAATATTTAGCAAATTTTTTAATTTTGATACATAGAAAAATATAACACAATTTATTATCTTAATTTTAATTAAAACTAAAATAAAGTACGACAATAACTTCGAAATTAAATTATTATATTAATTATATCAAGAATAATTAAATTAAATAGTGTAAAATAAAGAATAATCTGAATGTCAAATTTACATGAATTTATTATAGCTGAATAAAAAATATATATGTGAAATATTTATTTATTTTTTTAAAGTAACTTTCTTTTCCTAGAACATAATCTGTGCCAATAAAAGATTATTTTACAATTAATATCCTGCCATCCAAGTTTTATTTAAGAAACAAATTTTTGATGTCCCCGCTCACTCGGTCAAATAAAACGAATGTATATTTTTGTTGCGTCTCCACGCTTGATGATGCGGGAATTTTGTTTTGTCGCATATGCAAATACGGATTGTCAGAGTGAAGAGGCAGAAATCCAATAAAAAAGGAGCCGCAGCACAAGCACTGGTTGTTCTCTCCTCTAACAAATGTTAAAATGCGAGAGTGTATGTAATCTTCGTCTTATACGCAGACCCCTCGCCAACACACACTCGGCCTTGTGTGCGATGATGCGTGCAAAAAGCAAGTCGACGTGCGACAAAGGGAGACAGGGAGAAATTTGCATGGGAGCAGTAAAAAAGGATTTCACTGTGACAAAATTGCTTGCCACGGAGGAGGAAACATGCTCTAAAATTCTGTTTGATCCGGCTAAATTATTTGAAAATTAAAATCAATTGAAAGTTTGAAAAAATAAATACACATATTTTGAAGCAAATTTGAGCAAAATTAATTTGATATAACAACCAGATTACATTTTACTTTCCAAATGATATTCATTAAAATGTTAAAAAAATACTTAAATAATTCTTAATTTTTTTGTCTTTTAGTGTTCAAGGTTCAAGTTTTTCTCGTTCTTTGCGTACCATGCATTGTCTATAATGTGCAGCTTTTGAAAATTTCATCAATTTATTGATTTTGTTCTATTTTAAGGAAAGTTAGCCCTTCAGAGTAAGTTCATGGAAAGTCATTGGAGATTTTTTTTAAATCAATTTTTTTTATCAATTTTAATTTGTCTGTGACTATGGCATGCGAAAAGTAAAAAAAAAAAAATAAGAGTCAAATCCATTTTCATATTTTCTATAACTGTATGTATAAGATTTTAATATAGTCTATCCTAAAATCTTCCACATTAGGCATTATGGAGACGCAATCCCCACGTGCGCTCTGCACAGCTACATCACAACAAAACGGTTCGTTTTGATTCAATAAACTCGTAGCGCAGATTTTGAATTCAATCAACAAACACAAAGCTGACTGAGTTCATTTGCAGGAGAACTAACAAAGTTTTGTGGTTGAACGCTGGAAATAGGTAATAAATTTCACGTATGTGTCTGTATCGTAATTAAGCTGGCCACAACATTTATAAACGTTGATGTATGTGAAGTGCACCGCAAAACATTGTTGAATTACGAGCCCATTGTTTGACTGCTTGCAGAGCTACTAATTATTTGCGGATAATGCAATTAAATGCCTAAGGAAATAAGCAAATAATCTCTGTAACTAACAGGAAACGTAGAGTTAAAATAATTCATGAAATCTATTCCTTTTTTGCCTTTGGTTTTTCTTTTTTCTCAATAACTTAATAGGCTTGTTGTAAAATGATGCTGTAGCAAAATTGTTTTTTAAATAACATAAAGAACTAAAGACTTGTTAAAAAAGTGTCTTTTTCCGGAAAAGGTCAACTTATTAAGCTAAAATTTTAGGTGAAAAGGCAAAAATTTGTTTAGTTGTTAGGTATTTTTTTTATAAAATTTCATAGAAGTAGAATGAGATTTAAGTATAGTTTATACTATCACTAAAATTATCTTAAATTTGTTTACGTCCGAAAAATATTTTTGAGCAACAAATTTTTTCAAACATTTGAGCTTAAAATATAAAAAAAAGGATAAATTCCTGACTAAGTATTTTAATTACCATTCTGATTTTATTTTTCATCTTAAAAAAAAAAGATTATTATTTTTTTTATGGAGATTTCTACATTATCGAAAAATAAATAAATTTGGTTTGTACATTTGGGGATGGGGTGAGCTCGGCAACGAGGCCTGCAGGGAACGCGTGGTTTTCCACCCCCGCAAAAACGGTCCAGCACTGTGCTGCTCCACTCACCGGCGCGGCGAACTACTTGAGAGAGGGCCGCACAGACTAAAGGGGATGTTTTTGCAAGGATACTGCGTGTTGCGGGTTGTCTAACGTCCTCAGTGCCTGGGAAATCAACAGCGGCTCGACAGCGGAGGTGGAAATTGCGGCGCATTTCTGACAGAAGTCGCGGGTAAGCGGGGCCTGTTCGTCCCCAAAACGAACCCGGATTTTTGTAAAGGGTTTTTGGAGCCAACGCGGGGGCGCTGGGGCTCGCGGGACGCCCGGGGGAGACGCCGATTGACCCCGATTTTATCAGCGCGGAGGCTGCGTGCTCCTCTCTGTGCTGTGATCAAAGGAGATGGAAGCGGGCTTTGATTCGGTTCGTTAGGGCGATTGAACCTGCTGCGAGTGGAGCGATGAATGCGATCAAATTTTGCAACTTTAATCACGGCTTGTCAGCACTCACTATTAATTGATAATAAACCAATCGCTTCAACACCGTGTCTGTTGAAACTTAATATTTTATTTTTCCGTAAGCCAAAAAAGTAAACATAGTCGCAAAATTTGTGTTTTTTTTTAAACTGAAAATAAATAAATTAATTTTTTTTATTCAATTCAGTACAAGGAGCTTAATAAAAATAATATTCTTATAATAAATCATCATAAAACTAAATATTCAGTTTCAAAACAAGTTTAATTTAATTTCTTTGAAGATAAATAATAGCAAATATGAGGTTAAACAGAGAATATACGAGGAAAAACTGAATGAACTTCTTTTTACTAATAACAACTTCGTTTTAATAGCAGATTGTTTAAAATTTTTATTTTTATTTTTTATGGAAATATTTCAAAGTATTCATTTTCTTGCAATAAATTATGTCATGCCCAACATTATGTATATATATTTTTTTTATAATATATATACTTTTCTCCCAATAAATTTAAAAAAAAAAATTGAAATCACCTTTTCTGTATTCTTTTACATTCAGGTTTTTTTCAAGAACATTTATACAGTAGAAGAATTTCAAGATTGAGAGTCTTTAATCCATGGTGAAATTATCAAAAATAAAAAATCTTTGTTGTTTAGTCGTCCAGATTATTACAATCATCTGGCCATTTTTTTTTTTTCAAAATTCAATTGTTGAAAAATAAATTTGTATGGAAGTAGAAAACTTTTGGAAAAAAACGACAACGATATTAGCAAGAAATCTGCTAAAACTTCCAAGATCAACCTAAGTACATGAGTGTAAAAAGGCAGCTTGTACATTTAAAAATTCAAACAAATTAAAAAATAAAATAAAAATAAAACTTGCCTTTTATAGCGAAAAATAAATTTTTTTTTTTAATAATCAGTGCGGAAAATTCCAAGTATATCAATATAAATTTTTTTCCCAAGCAAATTATTTCTCATTTAGCATTCAAAAAAACCACTCTCGCAATGTAAACAAGCTGTGTATCAACACTGATCAAATTCCACTTGTAAATAATTGTTCAACAGCATCAAACTCAATAAATCTCAATGAATATTCAAAGGCCGGTGGTGGTTTTCTGCATCAAATTGGCTCTGGCCTGGCCAAACCGATCGTCAAAACACAGCAGCAGGAAAAAGGGGTGCAGTGCCGAGAGGCACGAGCAATTTCCAATTAGCAGATTTCCCTTGTGAGACCTGTACTTGCACGAGGAAACGAATTCTGCCGTCTCCTCCGTGCTCCGTCGTCGAATCATAAATCGATTGACAGAGCAGGAAATTCAATTTGCCGGGCCTAATTTAAAAAGCCTCTGCTCTCGTTGCAGACCCGCACCTTGCCATGCCATGGACTACATCCGCGAATTCGACATTCGCCTCGAGCGCGAGATGTACTACGCTGGAGAGACCGTCTGCGGAAATGTGATTCTGGACACCGTTGAGAACTTCAAGCTCAGGGGTGAGTATCGTAATATGGACACTTCCTCTCTGCGAACACAATGGCCGATTGATCGATATGTAATTTGACGGGCCGGTGTGCGGAAATTGGCAAAAGATTTTATAGAAATAGTGTTTGCAGGTTTTGGCGAAGTAGGTGGGCCCACTACTGCTGGTTCAAAGGATTTGGTTCGCATATAATGATCAATTGATTGCCTGCCAAATCGAGGGTGAATAAGCTCGCGATTTCCACCCATTGAATCCGTAACAATGATGTGGGGGCCAGAGTGGCAAAGATGAAAAAATCAATTCCGCAAAACACTTTTATTGAATTTATATACAGAAAATAACATAATTTATTCTAATTAATGAGATATTGATAGGGGTGAATTTAAAAGTCAGAGCGAAACAGATGCATTTTTTTTTTCATAATTTTTTTATGAAATCATTAGTGCATAAAGAATTAAACTTTAATTTATGGCAAAGGAAAAATAGAAAAAGGGTTGATTGGCTTTTTTTTATTAAAAAAACGAAATATGTTTTGCATCCAGAGTAAAACAATCAAAGAAAAGCCAGATAAGTGATTTGACTTTATCAGAAGCCCCTCTAAAAATTAAACTATATCACGAAATTTACTCATTGACAGCACGCATTTTTTGTTTTAAAAGGGTTTTTTTTAAACTGAAAGTGTGGATTCAGCAAAATATTGTTGAGGGTACAGAACTTAAAATAGATTATTTTATCAAATAAGCGCCTTGAAAATCAAGCGTGTGCTTTAAGGAAACTTTGTAATTACATTCCAACAACTGCTTATCAGGAGGTTTATTAACTTGTTGACTCATTTTCCATGGCGCAATAAGCAACTCACGCAACATGCAAAATTCAAGTTTGACATCATTTTTTGTCTCCATTTTCATTCCAAAAATTTCATTTTGCACATAGTTGCTTCAGTGCCACTTTCATAAAAATAATGAAAATATAATAAATTGGTTCAGTATCAACCGGTGGGCGGCTTTTTAAATTTTGGTTTGTGTCAGGTTTTGTAATAAACTTGTCAGGCGCTCACGTCACCAGAAAATTTTGAGCTGATTCTTATTTCGCAAAACACAAAATGGAATTTTAATTTCAGCTAAACACAAACCTTGCAGAAATGAGAGATTTGTACGACCACAAAAATTTATGATCAAAAAATTCAATTTTCTTTGTTGTGTATTACGCCATGATGCGTATTGATATTTTTTCCCAGACCAACAAATTGTAGATCCCTGACCAGCGGCAAAGTCCAGCGACCGAAAAGTTATATAAATGTGGGATAAGTCAATTTCGCGCATCAGCAAACTTTTAACGCTTTTACAAGCACGGATCGCGATGACTGGTATCAAATTGCAATCAATCAGGCCGAGCGGCGATTTTTTTTCTGGCGCGTTGACAGAATTAATGAGAGTGGATCTGCGTGCCGAGGCGTCGCTTTCGCAACAATAATCTCGGGTGAGTGTCAGTAAACGTCGGTGTACGTGACTTATCTGTGCAGGCAGGTGTGTGGGTGAGGGTTGCATTCAAATTCGCGCGCGGCCACCCCAACATTACCCCTCGCGAAACAATGCTCTGTGTGCGTCGTTTTACGCGGGCTGAATTATTAATCGCCGTGTCTAGCAACAGGACAGCGTTTTAATATTACAGTAGGGTCGATTTGAAGCGAGTGGCGTGCACGTATATAAACAGCCCACTTTCCCACTTTTTACCTCCTATACGTACCTGCCAGGAATAGAGTTTTCAGCCGAGTGGGTCTATAAAACCATCCGTATGGCCTTCGTTGTCGAAACTTTTTCGTTGTAACACTTGCGTGCGATATCTGAGAAGTTCGCATTTTAAGAATTTAATGATGGGTTGCTACATCCGTTTTGAGAACAGCAGTAAAATGGCTATAATTCAAAGCTGTGAATATGAATAAGGTTGTTTGCTTTATCCTCTCTCCTGTGAAAGATTTGGGCAGCACTAAAACAGCTCTTATTGTTAGAAAAACGACAAAAACAATAAAACAAATTTTCTAATATCGGAATATTGCTACGTTTTACATCAGACAACGCTCCTTATTGCAGAAGTAAACAATTTGATTTTCTTAATAATCTGTTCTGTTTTAATATAGCTCATGTGAGTCACGTCTGTAAAAACTAGAAAATTATCGCAAGCAGCAAAATTTTAATGCTGAAATTGTTTAAAAAACAATAACGAAATTTGTATTACAATGAGCTTAAAAAAAACTTAAGAGGCAAAAACGACAACCGGCTCACATTTTAAATTGTATTTTGTAGTTTTTTCTATATATCTGAAAAATATTATTATACGAGAACAAGAAATTGAAAATGAATTAATTTTGCCAAAATCCTTCTCCAGTTTTCAGTAAATTTTAACAAATTAATAACTTTTGATTTGAATTTAATTTGAGGTACGTCATATCATTTAATTAAAAATAAGTGTGCTCAATTATTATAAATTTCTTATTTTTTCGAGGGGGTATTTTATGATTGGTTTCTACAAATAAACATAAATAAATTCCCAGAAACAGACGCCTCAATTTCACTGCAAAATAAAAAAATCCATATTTCAAAAAGTTATTCGCTAAAATAAGGAAAGCGCCAAGTTTTTCTCATTTGCGTGAGGCTCTTTCTGAATATATAAAAACTTTTCAGACTATATCTGAAAAGCCCAAAACACCTCCAGGCTAAAAGTGGTTGAAAGTTACACCTCAATTCCAAAGGCTTGGCCAAGTTGGGGTCGAATCTGTGAGTAAGGCGGAGCAGCAGGAGCGGCGTGTTTTCATTGAATCGGAGGGGTTAAATGATACATCGGGCTGCTCTGGCTCGCTCTCTCGCGCGCGCGAGATATTTAGGCGGATCAATAAAAACGCAGCGCGTCCCGAAACCAAGCAAGACGCACACCACATATACACAGACATACGACCCTCTCGATCGCGCGAGGATGTGAGCAGGGAGAAGAAGCGAGAGAGCGCCTCGTGCTCTCGCAATCTCGCCGGTTTTGCCGCGAGGACGACAATAATTGCTCTCAGAAATTCGCTCTTTTTGTTGGTGCGGGCGACGACCCCCCCCCCACCCCCTTTAATGAGAAAGGGAAGGAGCCACAGAGTCTTAATGATCCATCGGCTTGATGTTCGGAGCAGGATTTGAGATGCTAGAGACCGCTTGTTGGGCTTCTAAAGCTATAGTGTTTGGACACAGCGTGTAATTAAGTAAGCCAAATCTTTGGCCACCAACTTGACGTTGGTTAATCAATCTCTTGTTGGGGAGGAGGAGATTTACCAACTTAGGGCCGCAAGTGGTTTTGACGTAACGAAATCAATCAATGCGTTGCCCTTGGGAGACGCCAATTATTATTTTTTGTTTCATTTTACTTTTAATAATTGCATTATTTTTGGAATTTATTAAGTGCCACTGGTGAGACTTAAAAGCAAATTCGTGTTAAAAACGTTTAATTACTCACTGTCTAATTTCTCTTGTTGTCAAATTAGGGGTAAGTGGTAGACTGTGTAGGCCGTCCAACTTTTCCAGAAGTTTGAGAAAGCAATTGAGTATAAAGTCATCGCACTTAATATAAATCGATCAAGTAAAAAAGTGTATTTATAATTTTTCAAAACCCCATACTAGGTCTTTCTGCGAGTTTGGTAAATCTAATTTTAAATATGATTTTAAAAACGGCATATTGGATTATTTCAGCAATATAATTTTTTTTTATTATTATTATTTCGAGTTCCTTTAATTTGTGGTAAATTTTGAGACTATTTACTCCACATTTTGTTCTAATGATTTAAAATTTTACCCCATTCAATAGTTTCATACTGTTTCTAAATGAAGTCCTTTGTCTTTATTTTTTTTTACTTTCATAAGTTTATAAAGAGTTCGCCTATAACTTATTATTTTTCTATTGAATTCGTTTGAAATGTCTCTTAATTTTTAGACCTTCAATTATTTTCATATTAAGCATGCACTAATGAAATCCAAAGAGAAAAGTTTCATTGAACAAATAAATAAATGATTTTGTAATCGGTGTCATATAGGGTGAAAGTATTTTGGTCCATAAATTTCCATTAATAATCCTCTTAATCTTTCAATACTTTAATCCAATATATATTTTTTTGTCACACAACAATCATTACAATAATCTCCCGTTCTGTTTATTAATCAAACCGCAATCCTTTATTCCCGACTGGATGCAAATGTGTATTTCTAATTAACATTCTGGGTAAATAGAGATCAATATGCAAATTACGCAAAGCAAATTAAGTTTGCAGCAAACACGTGCAAAAAATCGTGCCGTCGGGGTAAGGATGGGTGCTAATGATGTAGGTCGTTCCACCGCAGTTTGTACTACAAGCACACCCGCGGGGGCCGATAAAAAGCGAACGTACGCACGCACAGATACCTTGCTTTGAATATTTATCTGGCCGTGCACGGCGACGCGCTAAGCGTTTACCATATTGGCCCTGCTTATTGATTTTTATCGGTCGGGCCGCGCCAGACCGAAAGCTGCCGGACTGATTGAACGGAGAGTCCATCGGCAGCCGGAGGGAGACCCCTTATTTCCCCTAATTTCAAAATCCCTATAAGAGTTAAAAAATTACCTATTTTTCAATTCCTTAAATTTTATTTCATCTAGAAAGGATTCAATCTGTGTAAAAATTTTAAATATAGGACCTGAACATAATAAAGTTATTAGCAGCTAATCGTAAACAGTGAAAATTCTTTACTATTTTATTCAAGAGCTATTAAAAATTATACAGTTCAGCAAATTATAAAATATTTAAACAATCCAAGAGGAAGTTGGAGAACCTCTGTGATGAATTTGAAAGGAAATTAAAAATATGCTTGGTTTGCGAAAAAAAAAAAACTAATTTTGTTTCTTGTAAAAAAAAAGAGTTGTAATACTTAACAAAAATTTCAGCATTGGAAGTATTTTGGATTTTTTATGAGCTTAATAATAACTATTTTGTGCAAAATAAATTCTTGGATAAATTTTGGCTCCAATGCAAAAATTTTTGGGCAAGCATTTTAGATGTTGTATATTTTTTCTGGATTTAGGGAAAATTACGAAAGTGGTTTGAAGACAACTGGATTTGAGGGAAACGACGGCGTCTGCAGCCGGATTGCCGTTATTATTGCTGTTGTTGCCGTCGATGGCGGCGCAAATTATTGCGCGCACGTTCCGCTTTACGACTGCTTCCAGTCTCTCTAGTTATTTGCTTCGCAGCCGCCGGGCAAATGTTTGTTTAAGCGCATTCGCCGCGTTATCATGGCGCTTCATGCGTATTTGGCTCAATTTGCTTAATCGCTCCATTAGCTCGGCGCCCAATTTCGCTCTTCAAACTGCTGCGAACTGTCTTGAACGATCTGGCTATGGAGAGGTGAAAAGTGATGGAAAAAGATACGCTTTCCATTGGCCTCATTCTTTTCTCTCCCAATATCATTTGATACGCTGGCGAAGAAACAATATGGCTATTATTGGGTCAAAGGAGAAAACGTTTCAGCTCTAAATTTAGACTAGTTTGTCGGCAGGGTTGTTTTCAGAATTCCCAACGGCAGGTCTTGCTCAAGATGCCATTTATGGCTGCAGAAAATACAACATTTTTCTAAATATACACGTACATCTCTTGTTCTAACTCATTGTTTATGCAAATTAATGTATTTTGGAATCCATTGAAATCATTTAGAGGGCAGAAAATACACAGCTGAGATTCTAGTTTTACAACAATTCCAGTGGATTTCATTTTTAAAATATCTTTTTTTATTAAAATTTTAAGAGCAAGTTTAAATTTAAACATCAGCCCTAATATCTTTAGAACTATATTTGCTTGAAAAATAATTGGAGCAAAAATTAGGTTCGTGCAAATTCCTGAACCTTCTTAACAGCATCGGCATTGCTGATCTGACTTTTAATCCAAAACTGATTAAAGTGGAAGCTGCGGATGGACCTATTTTTGCTTCAAATGCGGGCTGTACGTGCGTTAAATCTCAATTTCTTCAGAAATCGATCGATTCACCATCAGAGAAAGGGCTTCACTGCTCTAAGACGGTGTGGGAAATTCTCTGTTGTGTGTGACATGGCAGAGGGCTTATTTAATTTTAGCCAAAGTTTTGGTGATTTACTCTCCTCAAACAAATTTGGAATGAACCACCCAAATATCACCAAATGACTTCAAAGCTATTATCAAAATTGAGTTTTTTCAATCAATTACAAATATTGAAAAATATCTATTAAAGCTATTTTAGAAGATTATAGTAAGTTTTCTTCAAAATCCCTGTTTAGATCTGGATAAATTAATTTTTTTTCATAAAACAATTAGTTAAAAAATTTAGCTCATTGTTTTATTAGAAAAAAAGTTTTTTTTATTGAAGAAGTTGACACTTGAGGAGATGATCAAGGAAATGAAGAAGTCGGGCTGTTCCTCGTAGTTTAAAAATGATAAATTTGGAAAATTATAAATATTTAATTTCTTTAATAAACAAACTCAATTAACACAAAAGTAAATTTCATTAAATAGCTTTTCAATAAAGCGCGCTTCTAATATCTCAATAGAAAGTTTGGAAGCTCGCTCTGGGCCATCCTCTTTAATCACAAATTATATCCCCCAAATTTCCCAAGCCAAACAGTTTGCCCCGAGTTCAGTCAGGCAGGCGAATTTTGCCGGCAACTCTCGAGCAGGAATTCCGCAAACCTCGAGTGTCGGCTCGAGAGAACAAGCAAGTTGCAGGGAGCGCCTTGTGTGCTCAAGTGGCGCAAAAAGACGCCGCCGACGGGATTCCTTTCTTGAGAATTAAAAATTAATTACAGCGAGTGCTACACGTAGTCTTCGTCGCTTTTAGCAAGAGACAGAAAGAGAGAAGAGAGGAAAGTTAATTCAATTTTGTTTTGTTGCAGCCGTTCGAGTGGTGCTCAGGGGAAAGGCGCACGCTGAGTGGAAGGTCGTGGTCAGCGGCGACAGGAGGACCGTAAAGGACGACCAGTACTTCGTCGACGACAGGGCCATCATTTGGGGCAAGGGTGAGTGCAAATTGGCTTGTTGGGAAAATAGAAATGATAATGGTAAGGGAGGAAAATCAGTAACGAAAATTCACATAAAATTGTCAATTTTTTTTTAATTTTGCAATACCAATAAACGCTAGATTTATTTTTCTCATTTAAAACTATGCAATATATTATTTTACAACATTCCCACATTGTTTACAATTTATTAGAAATAAAATCATTTAGCACATAATAATTCGTATATGAATTGTAAAGTTAGTATTTAAAATCCATACATTTTAACAGCGCAGAAATTGTTTTAAATATTGAATAAAATCCTGTCATCATCTATCCGAATTTATTTTTTGAAAATTCAAGTAATGACAGTCAGAAAAAATTAATTTGATGTTCGAATTTTCAATTTTGATTAATTTTTTTCAATGAAATCTTTCCAGACAAACCTGAGGGCAACGTTCCAATTTTGCCTCGGGGCCTGCACCAGTTTCCGTTCCGCTTCCAACTGCCTGAGAGTTCCCTACCATGTTCTTTCGAGAGCAAGCCCGGCTTCATCCGCTACTACATCAAGGTGAGCAGCCGAGCGTGACACGCGTGTGCACACTTGGCCGGCCAAGCGCCCGCAGGTGCCGGCGAGCGCGAGTTATGCAAACTGTCGCGCACGTCTGCCGAGCGGGACAGTATAAAAAATTCGTGAATGAAAAAAGGGAAAAGGAGAGACGAGGGTTAATTATTCAGGGTCGGTGGGCGGGTTTCTTCGTTCCGCGACGAAGCAGCGCTGACTGGGTGAAAAAAGAAATAAACTGAAATGGCCATGTCAGCGCTAGAACAAAGGAAATTGCTCAGCATTTGCCACCGCCTGCCTTTCTCTCTCTTGTTCAATTGTTATCTTTCTTTAGTGTCTAAACGGACTGGAGAGATGGAGGGGGACGTAGAAAGAGAGACAGCCAGATTAACGAGAATAATGATAATGGTGGTAATAAGCTGGTGAAAGACAATGGCCGCTCTTTGCCTGTGGTGCTTTGTAGAGGATAAACTAAAATTTCCAGTGCCTTTCGCAAGAGCGTTAACAATCCGTTTCCACTAGGGATAATTAAGAACCTTTTCAACGAAAACAGAAGAAATTTTTTTTTCAAAAATTTAATATTGAACCATATAATAAAGTGTTTTATAAATAATTTGATCGAAAAAATATTATTTAAAAATTTTGGAATTTCTTCAGAAACTAAAAGAGCGATTTTCAATTTTAATTGAAATAGTTTATAACTTTTGATCATTTTTTATAATTATTTTTAATCGAAAAACTTTGCATGAATCATTTTTCATAATGTAATTTACAGCAAAATACAGAACTTTTTTGCCATCACAATTTTCGTCATGAATTGACGGAATAAAAAAAAAAATAGAAAATAAAAATTACAAAAATTTTGCTTTAGGAACTTTTTTAAATAATTATTTGGCACAAATATTCTCAAGGCTATATAACAGAAATAAACCATCAGCAGAGGAAATTAATTTTGAGATTGCATTGCTCACCACAGATTCCATCATGGGAAATTGCGAATTCCTTGTTCAGCTTCGTCTTTCCATCTGAAAATTATTAATTGATAATCGGAATCGAGCGTTGCTTTGTGCGTCGGGGAAATGCGCAAATTCGCTTGATCGCACTCGCAAGGAATTCGATTCACGAAACTCGCACGCGTCGCCGAATCCTTTCTTTGCAACTCACTCAGAGGAGGTTAATCAAATCACATGTGTACGATTGCTCATCCAGGTGACGATCGACGTTCCGTACGCCTCGCCGCCGCAGGGTATGAAGTACTTCACCATCATTGGACCACACATTGACTGCATGGATGATCAGTATTTGGTGAGTGTCAACATCATTTCCACACGAGCAATTTGCTCTGATCAAAGTTCAAAGAAACATGGATTTTCATTAATTTTACTCGCTGAATGATTAAATATTTTGAGTATTAATTGATACATTTTTTATCAATTTTTTTCACTGTACATTTCTTTCATTTATCAATTAAAATTCGCTGATGAACGAATTAAAAAGAATTTTACAACAAGCATTTGTTGAAATTTTCATTTGAGAATTAGGATCTTTTTTAAACATTAAATTAAAAATTTTGTTCTCACCCACTCCAATTTAAATAAAAAAAGCTAAAATTAGGGCAAAAATTTGGAATTTCTTTAATTGCATGACAATTTTATTCAATGCCGATATCTCCTCATTTTTATTTCAGAAACCAATGATCGGGCAGGACAAAAAGACGACTTGCTGCTTCTGCTGCGAACGAGGCCCCGTGTCCCTGAGGGCGCAGCTCGAGCGGTCGGCCTACGTGTGCGGCGAAAGCATCAAGCTGCGAGCAGACGTGGACAACCAGGGCGAGGAGGAAGTTCGTTTGAAAGTCAAATTGCTGCAGGTGAGTGTTTCCGATGGCGCCCAAGGGAATCGTTTGCTTTTTTCCTTCTCGAAATAAAAAGGGGAAAGAAAGAAAAAAAGAAGAGTGAGGCTGGAGGGCAATTTTATTCAATTTGTTCAGCGGCGCGACTGCTTTGCATGAAAAGCCGCTGCAACGTGGAGCAAATTGCCCTTTTTGCAAAATGAGTTTTGTAACAAACACTTGAGCCTAAATTTACAGAAAATCCCAGAACTTCTTTAATTAAAAGTAAAATAACAGCAATTTTATCTCCTCTCCCCTTTTTAATGAGTATTTTTTTTTAAGATCTAAAAAAGTAATTAATTTAAAAAAAAAAAAAAAAAAAATTAACTCTTATTCAAATATTGTTCTGAATTTAAAATTAGTAAGATTAAATGAAAATTACCTAATTTAATATTCTTTTTGCAGAGTTTGAGAAAGTATTGAAAGTAAACAAAGAAAAGATAGGAAATTCTGGAAATTCCTGAAAAGCCAATGGGGCTGAAACATTTAAAATTGTCCGATTAGTTCAAAAGTTGTTATGCTAATTTTTATCTTCTGATAAAACTCATCAAGTAAAAAGCCAAACTTTAAATCTGCAAACATTAAAAAAGTCACCAAAACTTTAATTTCGAATTCTTGCAAGGATAAGGAAGAGAAGAATTTCCATCTCATTGATTGAAGAAATTCGATCCGATTGAGACAATGAATCCTTTGTGTTTCAGTACGTGGAGTACTTCATTGACAGAGGGGTGCTGGGGGTGACTCGCGAGGTGCAGCATCCTGTGCTCGAGTACCGCGGCGAGCCGGTTAAGCCCGGCACACACGCCAAGTGGGACTCGGCGCAGAGTCTGGTGGTGCCGACGATGCCGCCGTCGATGGTCGGCGTCTGCCGTCTCCTCCAGCTTTACTACGTCCTCAAGGTGGGGTGCCTATATTGGTATTTGCACAGCTCTTCGGCGGAACAGACAAATGAAGAAGAGCTGCCCAATCGATCTTGTCACTTGAAAACGAGCAAAAATTATTGCTGGCCAAAAGTGGCGGAAATTCATTCCTTTATTAACAGAGAAGAGAGTCATTTTAAAAATTCAAATTTAAATTTATTTCACGGAACAACTTTTTGTTGCTACTTATGATAATTTAACAATACTGGTCATTTTATATATTTGATTCGACACATAAATTTTGTTAATTATACACGAAATTTTACCGAGAATTTTATAACCAAGATCAATTTCAAAGTTCAAAAGAAATAATTCTGAAATAGAATATTTGAGGGAAGTTTTCTTTTCTGGGTTCCAAATTTGAAGTTGCATTTTAATTAAAAAAACAACAAAAAAATCAAAAATAAAGATGATATAATAACAACACCAAATATAACTTCTTGTCAAAATTAATATTCCTATATGATTTTTATGAAATTACGCAGCAAAACCTATGAAAACCCATTAAAAGAAGTTTTTGATAAAATAATTTTTGGATTTTTATTAGACCACCGCAAGTTCAAACGGATTTGCATACGTGCTAAGGCGACGGGGCCGTGTTTCATGTTGCCGAGGAGCAAATGCCGCAATATTAATAAATTTTAAATTTCATTTTTTTTTATGCAATATACAAGTTTTTTATTCAGTAAACGTGATTCTGAATGTAATTTGACCTACGAAAAGCTTTTAAAAACAACAATAAAATATAAATAAAAAAAATAGCGAGTCCTTGAAGATCGAGTCCTAAAACACTTGCGGAATTTTATTTTAATTTTTGAAAATTTTTTTTCTATGCAATATACAAGTTTTTTTATTGAGTAAACGTGATTTTGAATGTAATTTGATCTACAAAAAGTTTTGAAAATCACCGGCCCAGTCAGGTTTCGAACTCTACTTGGTCGGGCTCGCAGGATTAGATTTAACTGCGCCCCGAGCCCTACCGTCCGAGCCTATACCCTCTGGGCGTACCAGTGGCCGCGTAACAATGTGCTCAAAAAATCGCCTTATAAACAGTGACAGCCCGAACAACAATCGCGCATCACGACAATATACGTGAAACATTACTTGATTGCTATTTGAGCAACGTCAAAATTTGCTCTAATTTTTGTGAGGGCGAATTTAGAAATATTTTGTTCGGCGGTAAAATATACTTGCAGCATATCGCTTATCATATTAATTGCCGGTTGTGCAAAAAGAACACAGTAAAAAAATCCATTTTTATCTTAGGTGTTTTGAATCAGACAAAATTTTTAAAAACGATTTTATATTTTAATTAATTTAATTTTATAATAAACTTTTTAATTTCTCTGCATAACAATAATTTTAATAACAAAGACAATATTAAAAATAATCATTAAAAGCGACAATTTTTTTAAATCTACAAATAAATCATGTTCTTAAAATCTATTTCTAGGTGAACCTCGAGTTTGAAAAGAGTGGTGACGATTTGCAGATGCATTTCCCGCTGACGATCGCAACGGTGCCCTTCAGAATACCAAACAGTGCAAACCAGCCCTCGGTTAAATATGGTAATAAATCTCTCTCGCTCTCCTTTCTCTTTCCCTCCGACATTCATCTTTGGACCGCTTGGAAATTATGCAAATGCGTCGACGCGTCTTGGTATGAAAGAAGGAAATTCTGCCGCCTTCTCGCGCGCGCGAAATGTAAAAAGGGAAAATCGATTTGCATTTCATCTCGCTTGTAATGAGATATCTTTTTTCCACGCGGCTAGAATGACATTTTAACAAGGCCATCATTTCAAGCAAGCAAAGCGAGTGGGAGGGAAGGGCGACCGTCAGTTCTTGGTGAACACAGAAGTTCTTTTTTTGGCGTAATGAGAAAAGAAAATGGAAAGGTGCGTCTTTTATTTGGCGGGTTTAATTTAAACTTGATTTTTCTAATTTCTCGAAAATAAATTAAAATTATTTTTTTAATTCTCAATGCATTGCCCTAACGACAATGATGTTTTAACGGAAACTGGTAACACAGCTATCGATTATTTATCAATTTTGAGAAATTAAATTCCAACAATATTTGAACATCAAAATTTTAATTTCGTTGAATGTATACAGCATAAAAATTGAATTGTTTTATATTAATGGAACTTTCTAATCGTTTTTTCATTGCTTTCTTTCCTTTCTTTATGATTTATTCTTTCTAATAATTTAAAAGACAATTGTAACTAATTGTAAGGAGTTTATTTCTATGAATTTTCTCATTAAGGTATTTAACATTTTTGAGGATCCATTTTGTTTTATTTTGATTCAATTTCAAACATTTTTTGGTCGTTTTGCATTTACTATCTATAGAAAAAATGAACTATGTTGATTTTAAGTTAAATAAGTACATGTAATATAATACATTATATTTTATTTTTCTATAAAATTTATGTTTTACATTTCTTAAGACATTTATTTAATTTTTTTTATTATGTTTTTTTTTTTTTAACTTTTATTCATCTTGAATTTTATTTTGCAACTCAGATTAGAAAATAATTTTGATGTTTTATTCAATTATTTGAAAAAAAAACTGATGTTTTCTAAATTCATATAAATTGTATAGCTATTCAATAAGATCATAGATACTTGCAAAATTCATGAGTTCCACTGAGAAGAAGTCAGTAATACGTCATATTTCCTTCATACAAGTTGCATAATTTATAAAACAATTGTTATAAGTTTATACTCGAGCAGTGAAACAACTGATATGAATTTCCATAAGCTAAAACAGCCATTTTAGTTATTTTGTATATTATTTATTTAAAATTTTCTGATTTTTAAATAAGTTTTCTCCCTGACTCAGTATTTATTTTTAACTTAATTTCCTTATTTTCATTTCTTTCTAAATCTGAGAATAAATAAAAAAAAATTCACAAAGGTCATCAATTTAATCTGTACACTTTAGCAAAATAATGAAATGCATAATCAAATTTTGGACTTTTTTCAAATAACTATTTCATTGTAAGGAATCGTTTTGATAATTTCTGAGCTCATTTTTTGCCCTTTTGATTGTGATTGGCAGAGCACTCGTGCGACCACGTGGAGGGCGGACTGTACACGGGGCCCGAGTTCCTGCTTGGCGAGGTGTACGACGGCGACCACGACGGCCGCGAGACGGTGGTGCTGTACCGGCCTGTGTACGTGTGCATCGACCGGCCGGCGGTGCCGTCGAAACTGCAGGCCCAACTCAGCTCAAATGCCTTACCCTCCAGCAGCGCGGCGGCGCCGCAAACCTCGGCCAGCACGAACTCGTTGTAGGACACCGAGAAGTGTGCCGCGCTCTTTGCAGAGCAAACGACGCGCGGATGAGTTCGTTGATTTTGTTAATTAAGTTGAGAGACGAGAGGGAGGTTCTCTATGTCTTTCGGTGTGGATTACTCGGCCGCGTTGGTGCTGCTGGAACTCTTTCCCAAATAGGAATTTACATGCAGAGCTTCTTCTTCATTGTAAAGTGTTGTACAGATTGTACTGTTTTAAACACCGCTCTCATTATTTGGTGTTTGAATTTGGCTGAATTTTTCTCTACTCATCTGATAGTTTTTAACGTGGACTGGTGAAAAAGGTCTTTATTGGCTCAAAACTGTTGATTTAAAAAAAAAATGTAAGAAGTATAAAATTTAATTTGAAAGGATTAAATTTTGGCAAATTCTTTATAAATTAAATAAAATTATGGCCATTTAATTTTTTTTAATTTTGGTCATAGTAATTTTCAAAGGGGGCAAAGAACATTTAGTTGAAAATAGAATATAATTTTATGCAATTTTATTAAAGTTTTGTTTCTAACTAAAATTGTGCTGAAGCAGCAGTAAAAATTAAAGTTTTGGGTTTAAATTTTTTCTTGGAAATCATGCTGAATACATTTAGTTATTTTCATTGAAAATGAAACAAATCGCAAGAAAATCCGTTTTGTCAGAATGAATTTTGAAGTGAGGCTCATAAAGACTTTTTCCACCAGTCTGACCACATTTGAGATATGAATGGCTTGAAGTTTTTATTTAGAAAATAGATAGAAGTTGAGAAATTTGCAGATTATTTTACTTCAGAAATAGTTGACAGCTGACAAATAATATAACTTTTAAAGTGAAAACAGATTTGTTTGGAAAGGGACAACAGTGACAATTATGCTGTGTTCCCTGAGCAAACATGCATCTTATAATTTAAAATCTTCATAACTATGGCCAGCCGTGAGGTTAATTCAATGAATAAACCAATACAAAATTATGGAAAATTGAAAGAAATTTGCAATTTTAATAGGAGAGAGCACAGAGAAGGATTAAAACAATTTCAATCAGAATAAAATCTTGTTAAAATTTAAAGAGAGAATTTTTGAAAATCTTAATACCTTTCCGCTCAAAATCAGATTCTTGTTTTCAAAGTTAGTGACTGAGACATCCAATAGTTGATTCAATTGAAGCCTTAAGGCGCTCCTCAGATTTCTCTTTTGTTATTGTTAACAATGGATTGACAGAATTTGAGGGAAAAAATATTATTACCAAGTTTTTTCCTGGATCCCATCCAATCTGTCTATACCCATAAGCCTTGAAAACCTATATAAGATTTCCAATAAGGAAAAAGTGGAGTTGTATATCGTGGGGGTGATGGGAGTATCTCCGGAGTTGCGAGTTAGGGATTAAGATTGGAAAACTTTTTCACTACTTTTAAAAGGAAATGTGATTTGCAAAATCTTTGACGGTTTAATTTCAAAAAACTTTTTCAAACAAATAAAAAAAATGATAATTTTTAATTATTAATTTTCTTCTGCCTCACACCTTTCAAAAATTTTAATTGTTTTATCAAACTTTACCATTTAAGAAATTCGAGTGTTGAGAAATCTTAGTACGTCCGTTAAAAAAGCCAAATTTCCAAAATTATGAATAACAAAAGGACCTCGACGACCTGGACAACGATCAAGCGAGTTTGATTTTTATATAGGCGCGCATTTGCAACATAAAAAACTTTAAAAAGCAAGCTCAAACCACGGCTTTTAGTAGAGATTAGCAATCGCTCAAAGACATATTAATACACGAATAAAAAAGTCCCCAATTTTCCAATGAGGAAGCTCACAGTGATTTATGCAAAATTCAAATTCATTGAATTCAAACTCGCCTCGTGAACGCATCAGTCAATTAGAAGGCGAGGCCCGTGAACAAAAGTATGTAATTGCTAAGAGGAAAAGCCAAATTTCAACACCACAAATATGCATCATTACAAAAAAAATGATGAGATTATAAAAAAAAGTTGTGCTGCTACAATTGCAAAAAACTATATATAAACAGGTGCCAAAAACGTTACAAGCACTTAAATTTGTTACATTATTGTTCAATCAGTGTATAAGAATGTTAAATTTAAAACATAATTATAATTACCTACATAGCGTTAATACTCGTTTTGCGAAGAGGAACAAAGAATTTGTAACGCAGAGAAAATATAATTATGATATTAATTAAGTAAGAAAAATAGAATTTATCCTATTTCGGATGTGTTAGAGTTAATAATTGTAAGGCGGTGAAAATTTTATTAAAAAAGTGTAAGGCTTTTAATTTTTGATGTAACAAACCGTTTTCTACTTGTAACAATTAACTATAAATAACCACCCTACATCATAAATTTTGCTCTTTAAACGTGGCTGACGATTTTCTGGATCTTAAATAAAACTGGACCTAAAGGAAAAACAGGATAAATTAAACAAATCAACTAAAATAATTTTAAAAAGCCTGAATCAAAATCACAAAGCGCCAGAAAAACAAAACGGTCAATGGAAATTGATATACGCAATAAAACCTGGAAATTGGAATTTGTATATTATTCTTATGTCTCTGAAAACCTTTATTATTTATTTATAAATACTTTTTGGGAATTAAGTTTCTAAAAGGGCCTCTGAAGTAGTGATTTTTGTTCACGAGTTTGATAAAATACGAAATTGACTTAACTTGTGATTGAGAATTAGAAAATCTAATCAAAGCTGCAAATTTTCATGCCAAAAGCATATAATGAATTAGAGTCAATCTTAATTGGTTGTCAAACCCCAAAATTTGACTAAAAATCAACTTAATATTTCTCAAGACTTTTAATTTGACAATTCTCTTGAGGTTTTAATACGCTTGGCAGGATAAGAGAAATCTTGAACAAACCATCCATCCATCCATCGCTAAGGAGGCCGAATTTTTCAATCAAGTTTTCAGTTTAAACAAAATTTTATAATATTTTCAAATTTTAAATTCAAACTCTTAACTGGATAGGGCCATAAATTGAATGAACGGCAACTTTTATTTAATCAATTAATTAAGATCAACTCACAAAGTTGCAAGTGCTTTTCTCACTCTGCGCAATTTTTATTTTATTTGCTTTCGGGGAATAAAGTGTTTTGTGCACAAGAGATTTGTTTCTAGCGTTGTTTATGCGCTCGGCAGAAGAATAAAGGGTGTTTTGTGTTGCTCGGGGTTGTAAAAGTGACACCTGTTTTTTCATTATTATCACCACCGGGCGTGCACGGTGCGCCATGAATTATTGCGCTCGACTCGAAGCCGCCATAAATTTCGCGTGCCGCGTTAATAATTGCACACGCCCTATGCGTACTCGCGAGCAACTTTTTCCACGCTTTTTAGTTGAGCAACCGAAGAGGGCCTCGCGTAGCTAATTCTGAAATATTTACGGTTTGCGTCACCAGCCCGTGAAAGCTTTTGCGGAGAGTGGCGGCTTTTCGGATTCCATTAACTTGCCGAACAGTATAGTTGTTGATGCCCTGTTGTTGTTCTCGCCATTACTATTAGCCGAGATGGGAAAAGGGAATCTGGGAATTACCAAAAGCTCCGAAAAGGAGGAAAAAGTGAAATAAAACTCCAACAAATAACTGATGAATCCACCGACTCTTTCCTAAATTGAAAAAGTTTTATATTATTTTGAAAAAGGGCTGTTTTTATTATAATTTGCAATAAAAAAAATGTTATATTTTTTAAATGAGGAAAATTGAAGGCTGATCGGTTATCAAAATAAATGCTTCTTTAGTCTAAGAAAAAAAAGTTATAGAAGTTTATTTTATGTATTTTATTTAAAATACCTTTTACTCTAAAGGATTTAACTTACAATCATAAGATTTTATTAAATTTATTTTATATTAAAACAATATATTTATTATAATATAAAAATATTTTATGAATTTATTAACTAATAATGCTTAGAAAGCCTTATAAAATTTCGGATGAATTCTTCAGTGCTTTTTGGCAATTTTTTTATATCAATTTAAAACAAACCCCCATTTTTATATTTTAAGCCGTATACTTACAGGTCTTGTATTAAAGCCTCACATGAGAGATGAGAGCTAGGAAATTTTGGGTCATAAGTCATAATTTCATAATTAAGTAATAATTTCATTAAACATTTAAATTTAAAAAAGGTTTTTTTGCAGCTCTAGGGATACAAATTATTTAAGTGACGATCAATTAAAATAATTCACGGTCAACAACTCTTCAAACTCATGTAATTTTTACTGAATTACATTCACTATATTAATATTTTTATGTTCTTATAAATTTATGTTGAAATTAAAATTAGACAAGCAATCAAAAACCCTTTGAAGGGATAAAAAAATTGAGAATAAAATATTCTGCTTTACTGTGAAACAATTATTTTTTAACTGCTAAAAAGAACACTCTGAGGATAAGGAAAAATCAAATAAAACATTATGAATCAAAGCACTCGATCATTGATTTTCCAAATGGAAAAATTTAAAAAAAAAAAGCATATAACGTGTAATTATTATAAAAATTTCTATGGAGAAAATATTAATGCAATAAATTAAATACAATTTTCTGAGAATCCTCCGCCAAAAATCTTTTTATCATCGGTTTTTGAACTGTATTGCATATATTCTTGATATTGAACCCTTTAAACCCAAGAAGGGTGTATTTCTGTGCCCATTTCTCAATTTGAATCCCGCCCTTATTGCCCCGGCTGCATCTCTTTATCAAAATAAACCTCACCCGAGCCTCCCACGGGTCTTCATAAAACTGGCGGCCTCGATTGTGATTTATTATTGTTGTGCGCGGGCCGCCCTTTTGTAAAAAAAAAACGCAGATAAAGGGTTGTAAAAGACGAGGTCGATTTTTCCCTCCGACAACGGGATTATATCTGACGAGGAGCGCCCGAGAGATGAAGTCGCTGGCATTCGGTGAGCTGCGAAATTTGTGCATTATTCATGCGTGATTCGCGCCAACTCGGCGGATTTATTTATTTATTTTCGGACGGGTGAATTTGTTTGTTGGATATTTTGCAGCGACGGAAGGGTTCGGGGTCGAGAAGGGCAGCACAGCCGAGGAGGCCGGCGGTGAGAAAAGTGTCATTCAGGCGTGCACCTCTGCCACCTGGCTCAAGCAGGCACTCAAGCTCTGCGTTCTCGTCGCCTGCATGACTGCTGTCATTTTTCAGGTGCCAAAAAACATAAAAGTTTTTTATTAAAAAAAAAAAATTATTAACGAGACAAAATTATGTTGGAAGTTTTAGGAGTAAATCTTTAATTTTAAAAGGAATCTTTCATTAAATTATTTAATTTCCATGCGTGCAGGCCGAGGATAAAATATTGTTATAGTTCAATTTTTGTTTCAATTATCATATTAATTGATAAGAATTAAAATATTAATAACAAAATTAGAATTTTAATTAAAAAAAAATGCAAGTCTTGTCATTTACAAGAAAAAGTATTTTTTTTTCAATTCATTTTCATATATTTTTTTTCTTTTACTTAATTCCAAAGGGAGTTATAAGAAACGATTATTGATATAATATTAATTTTCATTCTGCTCAATTCCAAAAATCCAAATTATTATTAATGTTTTATGCAAATTTATTTATTTATGTAAAGAAGATTAGTTCAACTGAAATATAAATCAGGGCAATATTCTTTTTAATTAAAAGTTAAAATCAACCTCAGGAACTTTTTTATATAATTTTTCAAGCTCTCCGAATGCATATTGAAACTGAGCTACCCGCCGTTGTCCACAAGGACGGAACTAAAGATCAACTCAACCCTGAGCTACCCGGCGCTGACGATTTGTCGCAATCCGCCCTACAAAGCCAACGTGCTCAAGGTGAAAAGACGCGAGTAAAATTTCCATTTTCTCCGATTTCACCCTCGGATATTTCGCAGGACTACGGTTTGGCCAGCGAGATTACGCACACGTCCGAGTGGGCCAAATTTCCATTCAACGAGACCACGCTGGCGGAATTCTGGCAGAAAGCCACTTATTCCGAGTCGGAGAACTTTGTCATCTACGGCCTCGGCTCCTCTCCTAGTCGTAAGAAATCCGCTTTTTTAGAGAATCGTTCGAATGTAAAATTCTTGCTGTCGCAGACGTGGAGATGAAAAGCACGTTTTACTTTGAGAACGGGCTGTGTCACTCTTTGATTCCGATCATCTCCACAAAGGAGGTGGGCAGTTCATCAGGCTGGTCCATCGTTCTGAAGCACGCCGTAACCACCAAACCGGACCCTCGAACTCCGTGGAAGGTTTTCGTACACCAAGTCAACGACGCGTTTACCGGTAATTAAATAGAAACAGAAAATTTCCCAAAATTGCAGGTGAAATTATAAAAATTCAGAAGTCAACTCGAATGAAAAACTAACTCCAAATTAATTTTTTCTTTCCTTTAGATTAATTTAAAAGAGAAATATTTGATATTTCTTTTAAAAAAATGTTTGCCTTTTCGGTAATGATTTTTTTAATCCCAACGCTGTTCCTGCTGCATAATTCTTGAAAATTTTGTTTACTTTGTAAACCTTATGTGATTTGGCCTGATGATGCATGAGCACGTGAGCCGACATACTATGGATAGCGCCTGCAGATATACAAATTAGACAACCTGCTTGACGAGAGCGAAACTTTCATTAGAAAATAGATTCCATAATGTGCGTTTTCATTTATATGTAAATTAACTGAAGTTCGATAAAATCTCTTTTAAAATTGTATAGATTTAAAACACACCCTCAATGATTTCAAAATTTATAAAAAAAAAATAGAATAAAAATAATTATATTGAAAAAATTAACATGTATTATACGAAAATCTAATCTGTATCAAATTTGTTTGAAACTTTAATTTTCTTGAAAGAAATGAACATTATTTCCTAACCTTTACGCATTTCAGAAAACACCTTGCAAAATTTTGGCTCTCAAGAACTGATCATTTTGCCAATCGGCGAGCAGTTGAACGTAAAACTAACCGTGCAGCAACTAGAGCGAAAGGACCACCCGAAATCTGAATGCAACCCCGACTGGCAGTACAGCGCGACAAACGTGAGTCTAAATTAGATATAAACGCGGCGGGTTTTGTGTAAACAAGCAGTCCACGTTTGTAATTAATTTGACGGGTTTTGTTTGCAATGCAAATTGGGGTGTTCCAGTGCGTGGAAAGGTGTCGGTGGCAGGAAATTGCAGACAAGGCGGGCTGCTCGGTGCCTTGGATGCCGGGCGTCGGCTATCCCGAGTGCAACAACTACACGGCCATGCGAACTGTAATGGTCGAGTACCGCAAAAACACGGTCAGCGAGCAGTGCTCTGAGCAATGTGGCAAGCCGTGCCACATCACCCAATATTCTGCTTTTCTGGTAAGCAATTATTAATTTAAAAAAAAAAGATAATAATACAGTCAATCTAAATTCAAATTAAAATAAAACGGTAAAGATTTTAACATTAAAAAAAATTTCTGCCATTAAGATTTTTTTTTCAAATTTGGAAGTGTTTTATTAAAAATTAATATAAACCTATATCATGAAAAAAGTTTTTGTTCTTCGCATTACTTAAACATAACTAAAGTTAAACAAATTTTAAAATTTCTGTAAATTGTTTATGTATTGTTAAATCCGGTTAAATCTTAGGTGAATCGAGAGACGATAGCGACAAGTTCAGCACCGCGTTACTACAGCCAAATGTATGTTTTCCACACCTCAAAAATGATCACTTCGGTGAAAGAGCACGCCGACTACGATTTATCACGGTTTGTGGCCGACGCGGGCGGGTCTCTCGGGTTCCTGCTCGGCGTGTCGGTGCTCAGTTTGCTGAGCATGCTGGGAAAAGTGCTGCAGATTTTCACCTGCTGCGCCAAAAAAAGCACCGACGGCGGCAGCGTCAGCACCAGTCGCAGCAGCTCCATAAACAGCGCCGTCAACATCATCAAGCGTTGAAACCTTCTTTATGACCCAAAGTTATGCTACATAGGCACTTTCCACAATCGTTTAATTAAAACAAGGAAATTGCTACAAAAAGTATATGTTTTATTGTGTCTGCTTAAACTATAAGGTAATAAACAAATTTTCCAAACAATTCATGCAATAAAAATTACAGAGTTTGGTTTCCTGGCCCGAATAAATAGTGTGCACGCGATAAGGAATTAATTAACAAAATTCAATACATAATTCAACAATATAGGCTGTCTCGTTGGTTGGCGTTTACATTTTTGCCTTGAGGTGTCCCATCAACTTCTCTAGCTTCATGGCCTTTTGAAGGTTGCCCGAAATTTTGAGCTTGCCAGTCATGAAAGCACTTGCGGGCTTCAGTTTGCCTGAAAATTGATGAAAAAATTTATTTCACTTGGAATTTACAATGAATTCAATATTACTAATAAGATCGATAAAAAAGATTTTATTATGTGTTGGTGTTAAATTTTGAAATCCCCCCTGTAATAATATAGTAAATGTTTGAAATTTTTGTAGAAAAAAAATCGGAGAGAACTTATAAGTTATATTCCATGATTCTTTAGTAAATAGTAAATAGAAGAGTTGAACTTATTAAGTGATTAAGTGTCAATGTTTCATGAACCAAATTAAATTATTAACTATCTATATACGTAAGCTTATATGAATTATATCAAAATTAAATTATAAATTTTTTTATCAAAAGTGGATTAAGTTGGTATTAGTGGAAATTAACATTAATTTATGTTTTAACAAAATTAATGAATGTAAGCAAAATTTAATAAGTTTACACTAAACTTAAAATATTAAACTGAAACTATTATTGAGATGCATGTATTAAATTGAGTTTTTTATAAATTAAAATTTAATTAATTAAAATGTATGTCAAGCAAATTTATTTCTTAATTTAAAGAAATTTGTGCTTATGTGGACCTAAAACTCACGGGGACTAGCCGAGACCCACCGAGTCTCCGAGACAATTGTCTCAATAAACTTTTTTTCCATACCTGCGAACATATCGGCAAAGTGTCTGCTGTCCATGCTCAGGGTAGCATCAGCAGCGCTGGGTGCGTCACCCTTGCCAGTGCTGCCCTTTCCAGTCTTAAGATCCAAAAACCACTTTCCTTCCTCCGAACCTAGGTTTAAAAAAATATTATTTCTTTTGTACTTTATTGGATATTTAATTTAATATACCGGACACGTTGAACTGATAAATGGCCTGGATTTTTCCGACCAGCTCCTCACTAAGATTGGCCTCAATGGACTTGAAGACTTTGGCAACGCCTCCGGTAGCACCACCATCAGATTTCTCCTTCTTGATGTGTTCCTTAATGATCTTTTCCGGAGCAACGTCCAGGAAGAAATCAGGCATCAAATTATCCTTTTGGCCTAAAAATAATTTTGATTCAATATTCTAAAGAAGAGATTTTTTTAACATACTCGGATCAACAGCATAGGAGTCGAAATCCTTGATGCCAGCAGCGGCCAAAACCTCGTCGTCAATGGTGAAATTTCCAGTGAAGGAACCACTGTCTTTGGTGAGGATGAGGTAGGCAGCGTCAGCCATGATGTCGGGTTTGCGAGACATGGCAGCCGCCTCACTTTGTCCTCCAGCAAGCATCTCCATGGCAGCAGTCAAAATAGCTACAAAAAAAGGAATTTTTAAAAATAATCATAAAAAAAAACTAGAAAAAAACATTTGTTTTAGATCCTAAAATTATAATTTTTTTTAAATTTTATTCTTATTTTCTCACGAGTGATAAAAAAAATCTATTAATTTTCAAGAATATATTATAAAACTATAAATGAATACAAAACATTTCATAAAAAAGGACAAGCATATATTGCATGTTGAATGTCAATTTCTTTTTTGAAGCTATCGAGATTTAAAATATAATGCTATAGAAATCAGTGATTTTTACTACACACTTCCATTATGCTATTGAACTTATTGAACTACTGAATTTTATCTGAAATCAAGGAGGAGCCCTAAAAGATTGAATTCCAAGTAGTTTTAATTAATTAACAATGAATGTTTTGCCAAAACTGCTTTTGTTCAATAACCAAGTTTTATCAAATTTTCAGTAAAATAGAGTAAACTGACCAGTTCTGGGCCACAGAGCATTGACGGCCACCTTTTTGTCCCTGAACTCCTCGGCCATTCCGAGCACACACATGGACATTCCGTATTTGGCCATGGTGTAGGCGACGTGGTCTTTGAACCAGTGCGGCGCCATGTTCAGCGGCGGACTCAGGTTCAGAATGTGGGCGTTCTTGCTCTTGAGCAGGTGCGGCAGACACAACTTTGAACTAAAAGTTTTGTTTTTTAAAATTTCATCTTTCAAATATTAGAGGTTTTTACACAAGGAATGTGCCTCGGGTGTTGACGCTGTGCATCAGATCGTAACGCTTCATGTCTGTATGAAGGGTTGGCGTCAGGGAAATGGCGCTGGCGTTGTTGATTAGGATGTCGATGCCTCCGAAGGCCTTGACGGCGTCCTCCACAGCCGAAGCGACCGACTTTTCGTCTCTGACGTCCACAACGCATGGAAGGGCTTTGCCTCCAGCGGCCTCAACTGGAATAATTTTAAAATTGGTTAAAAAAAATTGAAAAAACTTTATAAATTTTAGGGTCAAATTTTGAAAATTCCTAATCTTATTCTTTTAAATTGAAAAATCTTAATTATTTCGTACTCTCTTTGGCAGCAGAGTAAATTGTGCCGGGCAGTTTGGGATGTGGGTCAGCGGTCTTGGCCGCCACAACGATGTTGGCCCCATCTTTGGCCGCCTTCAGGGCGATCGCCTTTCCGATTCCGCGACTCGCGCCTGTGATGAACAGCGTTTGTCCGGCGAGTTTCCTACAATAAAACAGAAATCTGAATAAAATTTCCTACTTAAAAAATAAGACATAGGAAAACGCACCCAGTGTTGCTGATCATTTTGGCTCTAGTGCACCTTGCTCCCCGCACTGGGCTATCGGCTAACTCTAATTAGGCACCGATTGGGCAAAATATTATCTTATCTGCAAGTCACACTTGTCGCGGACTTGGGTATAAATTAAACCAGAGTACTAAAGGTCAGACTGCCACGCTAACGCATTCCATTGTTTACTATTCCCATATGATCCGGCTCCATTCATCGGCGGTGCCGCACACGCGCACATCCGGCTTGAGCCTCCGTGGTACGCGTCGAGCAGGTTGCATAACGCACAGGCAAGAAATAGAATTGGCTGCTATGATGCCCCTAGGAAATTATAAAACTGATGCATTTGTCAGATGGTACAAATTCATTTGGAGATTTGATTTATTTTCGCAAAAAAAAATCAATAATTAATTTTACTCTCAGCATCCGGTCAAAATTAAATGCGACTCGCTCAGTTTAATTGAAGGCTTCTTATTGTTGAATAAATCTATAAAGTTCTTGACTGGATGAATGTAGCCTTAAATATTAAAAGCTTTGAAAGCTAATAAAAAATAAAAATATGCCATGCTTCCATATTATTTGTTATTTTAGTTTTTATTTTCAATTATTTTAAAATCGTAAAAAAATGTATTTTTGAGTTTCCATATGTAATCTTTTTAAAAATTGAGTAAAATTATTAAATATTTAACAAAAGGGACTAAAAAAATAAAAGAACCCTAGAGCGATGCATGTTATTAATTAAATCTGTTTCCTATTAACGAGTATGGTGTTTAATTTAAAAGAAACTAATTTAAATATTTTATATCAATTATCAAGAAAATATAATTATAAAATTTAGTTCAATCAATGAAATACTAATGAAAAACATTTTTATTCAATAATTTTAAACTTATTTACTGAAAAATTTGGCTAACTTTTCAGGAGGAACGTCAAGGAAGCCATCAGGCATCAGTTTGTCTTTGTACTCTGTAAAAATTAATTCATTTAAATTTTTCCCATTTTCAAATTTAATTTCCTTACTGGGATCGACCGCGTAGTGGTCAAAATCTGTAACACCTTCTGACCTCAAGAGATCTTCGTCTACCGTAAAATTTCCTGTAAAAGTACTGCTGTCCTTGGTCAAAATGATGTGCGCAGCATCGGACATGATTTCCGGCTTTCTCGAAACTTTAGCTGCCATGTCTCCGGCCAACAATTCCATCGCCGCTGTCCAAACAGCTTTACCAAGGAGCTTAATTTTATATATAAAAAAAAAATAATTTCAATTCTACCAGTTTTGGGCCAAAGAGCGTTTGCTGCCAATTTCTTTGACCGAAACTCCTCGGCCATGCCTAGAACGCACATGGACATTCCATACTTGGCCATCGTGTATGCCAGATGTCCTTTGAACCAGTGAGGTGCCATGTTTAAGGGCGGACTGATGTTCAAAATGTGTGGATTCTTTGCTTTCAGAAGGTGTGGAAGGCAAAGTTTTGAGCTATAGTTTAGTAAAATAATAATAAAAGTAAAAATTTGATAATAAAATTAAATTTACACTAGGTAAGTTCCTCTGGTATTAATTCCGTGCATCAAATCAAATCTTTTCATGTCAGTATGCGAAGTAGGAGTCAGAGAAATTGCACTGGCATTGTTGACCAAAATGTCGATGCCCCCGAATAGTCGGACTGTGTCCTCGACAGCTTTGGCCACCGTTTGTTCCTCTCTGATGTCCACAACACAGGGAAGGGCCTTTCCACCGGCATCCTCAACTGAAAAAAGTTAAATAAAAATCATTTAATTTAAAATTATATTTCTTTTAGAAAAAATTATGCAACCTTCTTTGGCAGCTGTGTATATAGTGCCGGGTAATTTCGGATGTGGTTCGGTCGTTTTGGCTGCGATCACAACGTTTGCTCCATCACGGGCTGCCCTCAACGCAATTGCTTTACCAATTCCCCGGCTCGAGCCGGTAATGAAAAGTGTTTTTCCGCGGAGACTTCAACGATGAAAAAAAAATGAAACATAATTCCTTTAATTTAAATTAATTTTAACTTACGAACTCATCTGACACAAAAACAAGGCGACCGGTAATGTGTAGTTCAACAAGATGATAAGACTATAAGAAACATATAATTTCAGATAAAAATATAGAAGAGTTAATCTTCAACACGTACCTTCCTATGCTCTTCTGCTAGACGGCCATTGATTAAAATTAAATGAGCATACAAACAAAAGAGCTGAGTGTTCAAAGGTCTTAATGTATTTTAAGTACGTCAGCTGGACACTCAAAGAGTGTCACAATTTCATGCTTCTCCTTTATATAGTCCCCTTTAAATAACTCCATTGGTGAGATGCTGCGGTTGCCATGGAGATTGTCGGTGAGAAGATCATTGAGTTAAAAATAAATAAAAATAATAAAAAGCGCAAGTCGTACGCTTAAATAATAAAATTTAATTTATATAATTTACTTTAACTCAATTTTGTGATTTATGGTTTTATCCAGTCATTTCTTTCAACTCAGAATTAATTAGAGATTGAAAAATCACAAATATTGTGTTCGCAGCAGAAATATTCTGAAATTGAAATTTCAAGAGCCTAGAAATTTCCTTTTTTTAAACTGAAAATACGGTCGACACGCTATTTTTAAAATTTAAAAGGTAAAAAAATTACAGTTACGTTGGCTTAAAAGCATTGCAGGGTAAACGACAATTTTTTTTTTTAAATTTATAAAAACTGGTTTCAACCGCTCATAAAATTGCAAAAGATTTGTGGGCAGTATAAAAATTAATATACATATTAAAAGGTAAAAATTTGTATTAAATTTTTTTATTGATCTAAAAAAGTGTTAAAATTTTTGTCTCATTTTTTCATCCAGTATCAGTCCAGTATTAAAAAAGATTTTCTCATCAAACGTCATTCTTAGTCCTGTAATAATTAATTTTCAGTTTTTAACTTTTAATCATTTTCTATTTCGTTCTCGCTCTTGCAATAAAAATCCAAGTTCAACTTTGAGCTATACTGTATAATTTTTATTCATTTTCATTCCGCCTGATATTAAATGTAGAGAATTATGCATTTAAAACAAAAAGTGCTTACAATTCTCAGTAAATTTATCAAATAATGTTGTGTTTTTTAAAGAAATTAAAACCCCCAATATAATTAGATTACTCTAAAGCGCCTTTGGAATAATTTAAACGCAGCACGCAGAGGAGAAGCGACTCGCCGGTTGCATACGCATCAGGGGCATTAGTTTAAAAATATCGTGTGAGCCACGAGGATGATTTATACAAGGACCCATCCATCCGTCGTTTCACTTTCTGCTTCTGAATAGTGATTATGGTGTTGAGCGATGGCCTTGTTAGTATGAAATTCCGGCGGGGAATAAATTTTCCGCAAAATTTTATACATGAATTTATATTTATCTTTTATTCGTAAAAGGTCGGAGATGGATCGACGTGTCTTTCAACAAAAGATCGATCTCCACACTCTCGCTTCTGATTTGAAAGAGACCTGAGAGTGCTGTAAAATAAATCCCTTTTTGTCCCGACGCTGGTCAGCCAGCGGTCAAAATAGCGAGGGTGGCTGCACGGACAATGAAAATACGCCTCGCTATAGTTCAGGTGGGCCTCAACACACTCCACTCGATCGCCCTTTCAAGAGCACTTCAACAAATTTGCTTTTATATTTTCAACTCGGCGTAAACACACAAGGCGTGATTTACAACTCTTTTCATTTCATTTCGGAACGAGTTGGCTGAAAATCAAACGAATTTACAAGAGCAGATTGTATCGCAAGTTCAAGTTAATTATTTTATTTGCACGTCTCTCTTTCGCTCACACACGTGTAGAGACGAGGCAAGTGGGGAAAAATAAAGGTGTGAGAGCAATGAGGAGTCTCAGAAGACGGAAGAGAACTCGCTTCGTAGTTAGTGGGTCAGGGAGTGAATAACCTGCCCCCCTCTTTCGCCTTCGAGCAACCAACTCTGGTGTGCATCATGCACGCCTCGAGCTGACAATGAGCTTTGGTTTGCGGAAATAAAATTGCAACTTTGTCGTTTTCATCAAATCATGGGAATTGGCAACAGAAATTCTATGGACTTCCAAAAGTTATAATCTTGGATGAAAGCTAAAAATATCTGACTGAATGAAATATTAATATTTTTTTTCATACTTATGTAATAAGGGGTTTTTCAAACAATGCAATATTTTTGCAAAAATTGAAAAGGGTAAAAAAATTCAAATTAGTAACCAGAAAAAATCTATACTATGGTCAAATGTGGAGCTGATGGAAATTTATAAGTTGCCAGATGAAAATTGTTCTTTTTTTCACTAACCACTTTTATCTGAATATTAAATTTTTACTTCTAAAGTAATATTTGGACTCATTTTTCGTCTTAATTCTAAAAATCTTCTAAAATTAGATCTTTCTTAGCTTTAAATAAAAACTATTAACTACTTTCCTTCCTTTTTGATTCCTTAAAAGCTTTTTGAGTCATGGAAAACCGACTGTCATCAATTTACGAATAAAATTTGCTAGCAAAATAATTCATTCAAAATGTGCACTAAAATTAATTTAATTCCTATGAAGAAGATTAAAGAGAAAAAAATTTGTTATGTTTTAGAGGCCTAGAATAAAATAAATTTATTGTTCTTTGAAATTCTATATTTGTAATAAAAGAAGAATGATTGCTTTAAATTGGCACAGATGCCATAAATAATGAATTTAGTAACATCGATTATAGCTTTTATGATGGCTTTTAAAACCCATTTAAGCCATCATCATTTTTTCTTTATTTTTATAATTATAGACCAGCCAATTTTCTCTCCATCTCCGATCACATCTAATCACGGCCTTTAATATTATACAGTCGAAAACCGATAGCGTAGATTTTAATCGAGAGCCACCCACTGTGCGTGTGCAGTCCTCACGGTCAATTGAAAAAGCATCACGCGCGTGCAGTTTGAAGGGTACACAACACACACCTGTGAGTACGTGTGAGTGAGGACACGCGGAATGGACTGCTGCATCTTTCTTTGTGCATCTCTCGTCGCTGACCAGCGGCAGACCACGCGACAATAGGAAGAAAACTGCTGCCATTAAAAGACCATAAAAGTGTCGGGCGCGTGCATATTGCTCTTTTTCGTAAACATCTAAACACTCTCGACTGGACAATAATCATATCACAATGGCAACACATTTCTCGCTGCTGCTGGACGCAGATGACATTTCATCTGACCTCAAAAATAGATTTTGCGGTCCACTCGAAAAATTCATAAATAAGAAAGAATGAGAGATGTTTTCGGCAGATCGAAAGCTGCGGCTGAAATCTGGCTGTGTGGGGTATAGTTTGCAACCACCGCGGTTTATTTATCTCAAACAGAGTAATCTGAGACTGCATGTTGAAAGAGGCCCTTGACGAATTTTAAATTGTGAATCATATCGATGTAATATTGGCTTTGAAAATTAAAAGATTAGGTAATTATAATAATAATAAATTAATTTATATTAAAATTAAACAGATTTTTCCTTAATTTTATTATAATTGATTATTTTAGGTTAAGAATTGAATGCATTTTTAATACCAAAAAGCTCATTGTTGATTTTGAGATAAATTTACATTTTGCAATTATCAATAATTGTTTAACAATTTTACATCTGCTCTCCTAAAAAACATACACTTAAAATGAGTTAAAACAACAATTTAATAAATTTTACAAGAAAAAACATTAAAATATCTTAATTTATTAATTAAGATTTCCTTAATTTATATGTATTTTGTGCATTTACCTTACCATTTTAAAATTTGCAATTATTGGCAAATGAAAAAATGGAAAAAAATCAACTAAACTTATGACAAGATTAACTTTATTATGGCTATTGCGCTACAATGTGAAATTTTTCCAATTTCTTTCAGATTATATAGCAAAAGCGCTGAAGAGTTTTATTCAGAAGAATTTAAGGATCATCGTGAAATTATATGATGCAGGAAAATTTATTTTAAAAATTAATTTTTTTTTAACTATAGAGGATTACATTTTTAAACAGAACCAAAACCGGGGATTTAAAAAAAAAATCAAGTTTCGACCCGGAAAATCAGTAATTAGCAACATAATTTATCTGAAACGCATTAATTAAATTAGTTAACTGTTAAATAACGTAACTTGATAAAATAATTAGGAAAATACAAAGATTGCGGCAATTTATAAGAAATTACACATCGTTTTGTCAGTCGATGAGTTGGCGTCTGGCCGTTCCTGGTGGCGCGTGATTCGCCAAAAGTAGGCCAATTCACACCTGAGCCGATGCGAGAGGTTGTTCGCGGACTGAGGATCGCGCAGCCCAGCGACGGCGAATCGCGGCGAAAAAAGGCGCAGGAAAAACCAACCAAGTGGCGACTCGGCGACCAATATAAGCCACTTGATTCATTGACTCAACAATCTGATTGAGTCAACAAAGAGGCCGTTGAACCTCAGTGTGATCCATCGTGAGCCGCTCTTTTGTCCCTTCCATGGCGTCCGTCCGTCTGCTTTTTGTCTATTTTGTTGCTATGAGGAAGAAGGTTTTCAGATGGGCAGCTCAGACGCGCGCGTTCACATCTCCACGGGCCACTCGTTTGAGAATAGACCTCTGGCCATAATATTCTCTACATTTACGTCGTGTACATTTTAACAATGATTATATAATTTCAATCAAATTACAGTCAATAGAAAATATTTAAACCGATTTTTTTGAAATTTATTGCAGGTTTTAGATCATCTTTTAGGAAAACAATACATTTAATTTTTATACTAGATTTTATAAATAATAAAACATAAATGTCTTTAATTTCATTCATCTTCAGAAGAATTTGAAAATAAAAATTTTACATAATGACTACTTTATGCGAAAGACTTTTCCGTGCAAAAATTTAATGATTAAAAAGTGGAACAAAGGGAAATTTTTAGATGGTCTACAAATAATTGCCAAAATCAAAACAAATCAGATACAATATTTTGATCAAAATTTATATTTAGCGATATGAAGGATTTTTCTACACCTTTAAAAAAATTGCAATGCTCGTCAAATTGTAAGAAAAGAAAACAAATGCTTGAAAAAGTTCAACTTTGTTAGGAAAGATTTAAAATATAAATAATATAAGCTTTTTCCTTAATCTTTGTGTTTAAAATTATTTTACTTCATTCATATTTCATCATTTCGACTTAATAATAAAATATATTTGCAATGTAATATAAAAATTCACTAACAAATTTTCTTATACGGCTGGTAAGAATTTCCTCCCAATTAAAAAAATTTCCCAGTCAAAATCACGCTT